TGTACCTGTGTAAACGTGCATTTTTTAACCTTCGTGTATTTATTTAATATTTTTCTCCGAAGCAGTTGAGATTATTTCAACATAATGACATTGGCGTCAGAAGCAAATTGAAAGGGGGGGGGGGCTTAAGTGAAAGAAAAAATCAAACCTACAAAAAAATTCTTGACAAGCAAAAAAAGAAAATGTGTCAATTGTCTAAACACGAAAATTCTATTTCGTGGGGGTTGGGGTTGGGGGGTTATGATAGAACTTCTTCCAGTGCCAGTATTTTTTCCAAACACTACCATTTCCCCTTTTTAAACTCAACTGCAATGTGTCGGTTGAAAAAGTGTGTGTGTGTGGGGGGGGGGGGGATGGTAAACCTACGCCCCAATGTACGATGTCTATATTATGTCTTTTTGCAAAAAAAAGTGCGGGCTAAACCTCCCTACCCCCACCCCCTCCGGTTCCCACGCCTATGAATGGCATGTATAAAACGATCATATTTTTATCAACTTCATCGTGTTTTATGTATTCAAACACCCATGCAGAAATAATTTTTTTTTACCACATATCTTAAGCGGTTGGTGGTTAGGACATTCCTCGAGGTAACACTAATGTGCATTCTAATTCCTTTAAAACAAACAAATAGCAAAAAAAAAAAAAAAAAAGGACGAAAGAAAAGTAAAAGAAAAAAAAATGATTTTTTTTTTAACTTGATCGTATTAAATAAAAAGCCGAGCCAGTTAACATATATTGTCTTGACTTTTCATATCTCAATTACTATTTTTTTTCTTCCGACGACTACAAAAAAATATCATTTTCATTAATTACACGTGCTTGTGGTATTAAAGGGAATAAACCATACCCGTATTCTTATGTTTATTTCATTACAGAATAAATCACATCATCATGAAATACATGTACTGTACCTACATGTACGGTAGTATGAAGATTAATTTAGAAGAAAATAAACCATATACGTAGCATTCTTCAACAGTGAATTATCATATACATATTTCAAATGGAATATAAACCATATTATCATGCCATTTCATCAATAATATCTAATTATGAAAAAAAAAATCTTTAATTATTAGGAATGGAAGCCGTGATTGAGCCTCGACTTGGTGAAATGTCAACACGTGTAATATCATTTAAACAGAGAATTTAATTCCGTAAATATATAATTATCAATATTTGTTCTTTACTTTTATCGAATTCTGAAATGAAAAAAAAATTATCAATTAATTAATTCTTTGACATTGTGTTTCTTTAAATGTTAGTCTTTCGTAAACCCAGTCTTAAATTGTTTATCTCCTAACCATTCTCTTAACCTGTCTTTACGGGTTTGCGTGCATTGAAGCGAGAGATTCACACCTGGCATGCACTAAATAAACAAAAGGAATTGAGTTGTAGATAACCGATTTGTATACATAAGATAAACAAAGCCTTATAATACGACCAAAGTCATATGTATCAGAAAGAGTACTATTTAATATTCATCTATTTTTTTAAAATTGGTAAGTACAAAACATTGCGCGATGCACGAAAATAGAATGTCGCTGCGTCATGCTAAAACCTCAAGAAAAAACCCCACTACTTCCATGACTCAATGTGGAATGAAATCTGGACAGATACCGCGATTCAAAGATTGAACTCATGGCCGGAACCTATATTACAGTAAAATCCGGAACCAATATTATGATTTTAAGGTTCCGGCCGGAACGCGAAACACCCGGAACGAATATTATGCGACACGGGACAACACCTAGAGAGAAGCAGTCTTGGAGTCCGTGGATTGACAGAATCAAAGCATGTAAATATAAGGAATAACTGTCAGATTTTTCAAATTCATGAAGGTGATCAATGGATTGGCTTGTGTGATAATTTTATGCATAAATTATTGTTTTTTTTTCTCACTGGAGAAACTTAAACACGGTCAGTGTGCCCTGTAGTTGTCCAACATAAAGATTTTTCTCTTCATCTGCACAAACACTATAGGGACCGTATATCCCTTGTTCGTGTGTGAGTAATAGAGACAAGAACTGACCGTCCCGATCAAGGAGGTGAACAGAGTTAGTGTGATAATCACACACCAGGATGTGACCGAAGACATCAATACAGATTCCATAGGGACGGAACTTTGATTTCTGACCTTTGTAGGAGAACCTGTGTTGTCCTGATTTATTCACCACCACTACTCCCTTAGTATAGTCTGATGTACAGATATCTCCATTGATATTTTCTGTGATGTAGTGTGGTTAAGTATATAGTTTTCGCCCCCTGTTATCTCTTTGTATGTTCTGTAGTTCTTTTCCTGTCTTGTTGTACCTGGTGACTCTAGCCTCTCTATAACCCGTCATCCCCACTAGTAAGTCCCCGTTGATGTGGGAGGAGTGTATGCTGAGTGGGACCCAGACTCCTGTTTTTATGAATTCAGTGATATTATTATCCTGTGTTATTTTATTGATAACTTTATCGACTATGTCTGTAAAGATAAGATCCCCATTCTGTGTCACTGTGTGGTAACCATCAGATCCGCCGCTGGTTTTTATCTTCTCTATCACATTCCCCTGTAGATCTGTTTGGACGAGATTGCCATTTTTGTCACTGATCCAGAGTCTGTCTGATTGATATGATGGTTATATGTAATATACCCTTGACATCTGGTATATTGAACTCCCTGACCTTATAGTGACAGATAGAGGCTGTGTTTGTTTCTCTCTGTCTTCTTTCATCTGTCGTTTACGTTGCTGGTAAAGGACCACCTCATGGTTCTTGTTTTCTGGACTTTTCAGATGTTCATCTCTGCATTGTTTGCACAATCTTTGAAGACAAGGATTGCAATAAAACTCACAATTTCTTTCACATTCTTCAATACCATACTTTAAAAAAAGTCGGTCTGAGCAAGCTGCTTTACATAATGACATCTGAAAATCATGAAATTCTTATATAATTCTTATAATTTTTTTGCTCATTTACACAGTGAATATCTTTATTGAAGTTGATTGCCAAAGATTTTGATTTTTAAGAGGACCATTGATTAATATTCAAGCATCAACTACATGTAGCTGTCCAGTATATCTTTGACATTTGTTGAAATTAAGCAAGTACTTGAAATTAATGTAATTTGTATCATTTGATCTATTAAAATTTTATTCAATAAAAAAGATTACAGAATTGCATTTAAAATCTTCAAATGATCTCTCGCAGTTATTAAAAAGTTTTCCATATACCGGTTTGAAGATTTTTAAGAAACATAAAGAATAATTTCATCGTATTATACATGATATATATAAATAATTGACATGGTATTCATTAATACTTACAATGATAGGTTTATGGCCTAGAGAAACTTTGATCCAAACGACTTCTGAATGTGGGAGTTAGAATTACGATAACACGTTAAAGTTATCTTTAATTTGCTTACTAGATGGAGATAAATGCTATCATATGGGTTAATGTTAATAAACAAAATGTTGAGAAATAGAATACAACACTTATCAGTCCTTGTCTTGATGCAACGCCGGCAGATATGACAGTCATGTAAATTCTCCTTGAACGATGAATTTTGTTAAATATTTGATTTTATTGATATCATTCCATACTGGTGTGACCTGCATATTTAGAATTGTTAAAACTACTTAAAACTTATTGAGAAAGTTAAAACATCTATAAAAATAAGTACAATTGTAACATTTAAAACTGTAATGTAAATCTCAGTTTTATTGTCGATACAATGTCAGAGTCAATGGCATGCATAAGAAGTATTAGGGTTTTAACTTGAGGAAGTAGAACTATATTATTTTGTAATTAAATTTTGACTTTGATGAAGCCATTTAAATATGAATTTTGATTGAACTGCTTTCTGACACATTGTATATGAATAGATTCTGACAACTTTTTTGTACTGAACTTGGTAAAAAATTCATTTTTTTTCCGTTACAGTTGATAAGGAATGCCTGTGAGAACAATGTGATGGGTGACCAGCTGAGTGACCACTACCTGTCTGCGGCCGATGACCTCTACCACTTAAGGATCCCCAGGATCTGGTGTAAGATGACCGGCACCACCGCCCCCACCCTACACCTACAACGCCGCTCAGTGGCTCCGAGATCTAGAGGACCGCTGGAAACACTTTGAGAAGATCCTCAGCATGGTGTGTATTGTATAATTAAAGATGGGGGGATCCATTGGGAGTGGATATCCTTTTTATGCAGATTTGATATTTTTTCATTGTTAGAAATAGCTGACACTTTATCCTGCTAAGTCTTTTGTTTCTAGTAAAAGAATTGATGTTTTAAATAGGGATTATTTTTTGCATGTTACAGGGAAGGAAGGCCATGCCAGCCTATTGGTTAGGAGCATTCTTCAATTCTAGAGGACTTCTTGCCTTACTGAAACAGGAAGCCATCAAGAGTTACTGTGGAGATAGGTCCGGCAATTTTGAACAATTCACCTTCCAGACAGACACAACATTCAGAGATTTTGGACATGTGAGAACAATACCTTCTCTCTAATCCTTGTATTGTACAAATCTTGCTTTTTGCTACCAAAGCTAACAATAGACTGAAACAGAATTTGATATTAATTGTATAATTCATGGATAAAATTGATTTGGTACTTTTGTTTCCTTCTTAGTAACTTCAACCTCCACCAGAGGGCGTGTACATTCATGGAATCCACCTCTGGGGGTGTTCCATTGAGAAGACAACCAATGAATTCCAGGACCAGGCCTCCAGACAGGGTTACGCCCCCCTCCCTGTCCTCCATCTACAGTGCTACCCGATTAACGAGAAATATTATACAGGAACCCTCCTTCCAGTGCCCACTCTATCCCTCCAGAATAGCCCCACGGGACCCCATCATAGAAATCGACTTCAAAAAGGAGGGAATCCCGCCCATGAGATGGGCACTACGTGGGCTCACTGCTACTATCTGGCCTTATTAATTTAAGAAACTGCCAAAGACGTTTTCTTGTGTTGCATTAAAAAATCCAAAATAATGACTTTAAGGAGTGATTTATTAAATAAGATCGAACATTTTTTTTCTGACCTTGTGATTTATTGAAATTTTTACTGTATGACATAATGCATTACATAGATAAATAGGTATTTTTTGCTGAATGCAAACCTTATTCCGTCCTCATCACGTTCAATCTGTGATAACAATGGTTGTGTACAGAGTAGATTAATTTTGTATTATTATGGTTGTGTTTCTGTGACACCGATGCATTATATTATTATGGTTGTGTTTCTCTGTGACAGTGATGAACATGTATTTGTTTATACTCTTGTTGATACTGTTTTTATTTTAAAATATATATATTTATTTCTATTTTAAAGACTTTTCATGCATATGTGTCAAAATATTGTATACTGCTGAGTTTGATTAAAACTTGAATGTTGTAATCTTTATTGTCATTGTGTTAACTTGATCATTTGTATATTTTTGACGTCCCTCTTGAGAATTGTTCACTCATGTGGAAACGCCAGCAACTCTGAAATGTGAATTATTCATATAAATATTCATTTCGTAAATCATGGCTTCTGTAGTGATAAACACAGATGTGTCTTTTGACCTTTTGCCCTGGATTCAATATTCCAATAGTAGCCTGTTTGCAATTCAGTGATAAATGTACCATTCATTTTGACCATCTTATTGTCCTTGACCTTTTGACACTGTTATAACTATTCTTATGTATTTTTATTACACTGGCCACCTTGCAAATTCTGCATGTTTGAATTGATACTGCTCATGTCTGATATTTCCCATACTTAACCATTCTCACAATTTGCTCATGAGCAGCTCACGTTAGGACTAACCAGATTTCTTCACCTGAGTTGCTCACGTGAGTCTCATGTGCAATTTAACATGCAAATTAGGTGAAATGCTCACGTGAGCAGGGTTCTGCACTTTAGCATTTTTTGCTCATGTGAGGAATCATTTTGCTCACCTAGAATATTGCTCACGTGAGGCTCATGAAACTCATGTGCAACAATTGCTAACTTGAACAAGCAAAAATAGAACAAAATTCAGATTACAAACATTATATAATTATACATGTAGTTTTGAATTTGATTCAATCAATTTCATTTTAAATACTCTTGAGCAACATGTACATGTAAATAGATGCATGCATAATTATTTTCAGTGAACATCCTATTTTAAACTTAAAATGACACAAAAAATTTAACTTAATTATAATTATGTACAGTACACATCAATCATAGTATTATTATCCAATAGTTCCATTTCCAGTAGAACATACATCCAATGTAAATGTCTAGTCAAAATTTTTGACTGCACTTAAATGAGTACTAGATGGATTAAAGTTGTCTTGGAGGCTTAAAGCAGATGTTTCTGCCTTGCTGAATTTATGAGTGGCATGCAGTCATACTTGGGTGTAAAATAATCCAGTGGTCATAAGAATCATAATCAATTCATCCTGTTCCAATCTTTTTCCTTGCATTTCCTTTAAATGAGTGCCTGGACATCAGAACTCCGTCATGTATACATGCAATTAGCTCATGCAGCTAGGGTCCGTTATTAATCTGCAGATCTTTTGATTCCAACTTTTATCTGCAAAAAAATTGAAGTTTAAGTTAGTATATTTTCAAAGTTCCATTGGTCATGGTCCATTGGTCATGAAAAACCAGTCAATATAGAAAAATCAAATGCATATACACCTCTTGCTCACCTATTGCTCATGTGAGGAAACTGAAATTAGAATAATCACTACCAATGTAAGGCTGTTCTTAGGTGAGCAAATTGAATAGACTTTTGCTCATGAGCATTGAGGTGAGCATAATTTTGCACATGTGCATTTTGGTTAGTATTTTCCTCCCTAACAAAGACTAACAATCTGCACATGAGCAAAATCCAGTTCTACCTAATTTGCATGCAATTCTTACTTAATTCTCATGTGAGTCTCATGAGCTGCTCATGAGCATTTGTTAGAATGTTTGGTACGGGTTGAACATCAAATGCATGGGCTCTTTTTAAGTATTCTTCTGCATATGCAACATCTGTAGCTTTTTAGTTAAAGTTGCTATATGTCTTTTTGAGAACATGAGTAAGAACATATTCTTTCAATGATCTCAAACTTTGATCCTCAAGTGAGTAGATTTTGGTTTCCTGTCATCCACAACCTCTCTAGCATGTTTTTAAGTAAAATTTTCACACAAGTCTACAACACTAACCACAACAACAAAATCGTTAATTCTGATCCTGAAAAAAATTCCAACTTATGGAGCTACAAAAGTCAATATTATTAAAGACAAGTATAATCTAACGAAGATTCAACTTTTTTCAATTTTAATTTTTTTCAATTTATGTGTCCATACGGCTGAGCCATGTCACAACATCAGATATATCAACTTTGATATCCAATATCGACTACAACAGACTGAAAGGAATATAGTTCATATTTTACCTTATTTTCGAAATTTAATGCGCAATTATCATATCCTAAATCTTTTCACCCCCACCTCCAACTTAAATCTAGACAACATGGATTTGCTTCTATCCTTACATGTAATGTATAATTTAGTTTTATTACAACATATCTCATCAGAATCACACTACTTCAAAATTGTACCATGTAATGCCATGACAATACTTTATTCTCATAAATATGGTGCTAGAAACAATGCACATTACTTAACAAATACAACTATATGACAATGTGCATGTTTGAAAATTAACCAAGAGAACATGTTAAGATGTACATTATATATACACTATAATATTATATTATAAATATTGCTCCCAAATTATATACAATGTCATCAACATGTTCACCCAACAAAACCCAGTGGACTTGTATACATTCATCAACTCTGTTAAAATTATTCAGAATAAAAAATGACTGAAAATATTTGAATTTACAAACTAGCAAAGTTTTTATATGTTAATTTAAGGTAGTATGATCACCAGGTTTGTAAAATTAGCAGTTAAATAATCAAAACTACTCATGAAAGTATCTCTGAATCCACAATGTTATGTAAATTTATCCACAGTATTTCTTTAAAGTTAAAGATTATAGTTAATCATATTATATATGTCAAATCTCCAATATTTTTGCTGGAAAAGAGAATTTGAATATCAGCAATACATTTTCTGATTGCAAATTGATCAACAAATATGATAGGTATCCGGGCATTCAGAGAAACTGCCTTGATTTTTATACTTAATTGGTATTTTTTATCTTCTATTTCTGTCATGTATTCTATAATACATAGTGTAAAAGGCTTTTGCTATAATTGCAAGGCACCACAAATCACTTCTTATTTCATATCATGCTAATAAGAGAACGTGTATTGAGCATACTGTATGTTTCGAAGTTGTACACGTTGTAAACATTGTCAATACTTGAGCACAGCTTTTGTACCAAGGAATAGTTACTTGAGTGCAGCACGTATATAACACATGTAGTATTTTATGTAGTAACCCATAAATGCATTAAATGCAACTTATTGAGCTGATTGCTCGATTTGTAAGTCATGTTGTTTCCTCACTGAACAGACGTCACAAAACATAGTTTTCCTGACCTGATGATTCTCGCGATGCTTTTCCCGCGCACATGCGCAGATCCAGCATAAACGTCAGTCCTTTATAAATATGCATGAGAACATCGTGTTCTTTTCCCGACCAGTACTTTTGTTAATACTGAATAATATTTCGTCGAATTGGCAAGAATGCTTCATTTTTGATAGCTTTTCATACTTCAGAAATTGTTGTTTGGCTTCAGCTGTGCAAAAATAATGTTTAACACGGAATACATATCTTTAAATAATTTCAGCTTTAAATGACTGTCTCTCTAAAGACAACATGAATGCTGTCAATGAGGAACTCATCCCTTTAACATCAACCCCGACTGTAATGTTAACATTTGCCTGAATAATGCATAGGGTTTCCTGTTAGAGCGTCTAGTCAACATTAAATGTTTTCTCCTGTTTGGCACGTTACATCTAATCCTAGCTCTGGAACTTCTAAGGTTCTGAGTTTTTTGCCCTATTCACAGATTTGTATTGTTTGTCAATATGTTATCGATCTCTGTTTGTTGTCTTCACCATTTCAGGTACAAGTAGGTATTCAGTATGCTGAAGAATTCACATTTGATAAATAGATAATTTTCAAACTTTATTCAGTGTGATATTCAGAATGTATCTCTAGTATTATTCATACGCAGGATTTAAAATGTCTAATCTATAAAGATTGAAATATAGTTATATTTAAAATATTCTCATGTACACTCAAAGAGTGTATAATGAAAAAGGCAATTGTTTTTTTTTTCTCACTGGAGAAACTTAAACACGGTCAGTGTGCCCTGTAGTTGTCCAACATAAAGATTTTCATCTGCACAAACACTATAGGGACCGTATATCCCTTGTTCGTGTGTGAGTAATAGAGACAAGAACTGACCGTCCTGATCAAGGAGGTGAACAGAGTTAGTGTGATAATCACACACCAGGATGTGACCGAAGACATCAATACAGATTCCATATGGACGGAACTTTGATTTCTGACCTTTGTAGGAGAACCTGTGTTGTCCTGATTTATTTACCACCACTACTCCCTTAGTATAGTCTGATGTACAGATATCTCCATTGATGTTTTCTGTGATGTAGTGTGGTTTACTATATAGTTTTCGCCCCCTGTTATCTTTTTGTATGTTCTGTAGTTCTTTTCCTGTCTTGTTGTACCTGGTGACTCTAGCCTCTCTATAACCAGTCATTCCCACCAGTAAGTCTTCGTTGATGTGGGAGGAGTGTATGCTGAGTGGGACCCAGACTCCAGTTTTAATGAACTCAGTGATATTGTTATCCTGTGTTATCCTATTGATGACTTTATTGACTATGTCTGTAAAGATCAGATTCCCGTCTTGTGTCACGGTGTGGTGACCTTCTTCTCCACCACTGGTTTTTATCTTCTGTATCACATTTCCCTGTAGATCTGTTTGGACAAGATTGCCATATTTGTCACTGATCCAGAGTCTGTCTGATCGATATGATGTTATATGTAATATGCCAAGGAGATCTGGTACATTGAACTCCCTGACTTTTTTGAGTGATAGAGGCTGTGTCTGTTTCTCTCTATCTTCTGTCATCTGTTGCTGGTAGAGGACCACCTCATGGTTCTTGTTTTCTAGACTTTTCATATGTTCATCTCTGCATTGTGTGCACAATTTTTGATGACAAGGGTTGCAATAAAACTCACATTTTCTATCACATTCTTCAGTGCCACACTCTAAAAAGAGCTGGACAGTGCAAGCTGTTTTAGATAATGACATCTGAAAATCATGATGTTCCTATATAGTAATAAGGATTTCTCATTTTCGCAGTGAATAACTTTATTGAAGTTATACCAAAAGCTTTTTTTATTTTTAAGAAGAATATTGATTAATAGTCAAATATCAACTATTTACTAGTACATCTTTGACATCGGTTTAAGTACGTACTGGAAATATAATTGTATCGTTTGATTTAATAAAGTTTTATTCCATAAAGAAAAATAATTATACAATTGGATCTTAAAATCCCACAAATGATCTCTCACAGTAAGTAAAAAGTTTCCATAAATACCGGTATAAAGATTTTTACGAAAGATATACATAATATAGCATAATTTCATTGTATATATGTTATATATTATATAAAGTAATAAGCTTTAGATAAATGATGGACATGATATTCTTTAATACTTACAATATATGTTCATGGCCTACAGAAACTTTAACCAAATATTTCTGGATGTGGTAGTTTGACTTAGTCGAACACGTAAAAGTTATCTGTAGTTTGTTTACTAGATGGAGAAAAATGAAATCACATGGGCTAATGTTAATAAACAAACTGTTGAGAAACAGAATACCACACTTATTAGTCCTTGTCCTGGTGCAACGCCGGCAGATATGACAGTCATATGATTTCTCCTTGAACGTTGAATTTTGTTAAATATTTGATTTTGTTGATATCATTCCATACTGGCGTGACCTGCATATTTAGAATTATCAAAACTTCTTAAAACTTATTGAGAAAGTCAAACCCTCTTTGAAAAATAAGTACAATTGTTACATTTAAACTTTAATGTATCACAGATGTCAGTAATGTCAGTTGTGTTGTCGATACAATGTCAGAGTCAATGGAATGGATAAGATTAAATTTGTTTGTGACGTATTAAGTTTTTAACTTGAGAAAGTAGAGATGTATTATTTTGTAATTAAATCCCGACATTGGTGATTTCAGTCATTCCGTGAGTTTGTTGTGGAGAAAATCCGTAAACTACCTGGGGACTACGCTATCTTCAATGACTTCATCATGAAAGAATGTGTGATTCTTCATCAACTGTTGACAGAATTCCGGTGTTGTAGCATAGACTTTCCCCCCGCATAGACTTTCCCCCCGGAAAAACGGGCCCGGGTTAGACTCCCCCCCCCCTGGGCGGAAAAAGCGCCCCAGTATAGAATTTCCCCCTTTGAACAAAATCAGTATAGACTTTCCCCCTTGGGGGGAAAAAACCGCCCCAGTATAGACTTCCCCCCCTTATAATTCCGGATTGCGTTTTTCCGGAATTCGTTTTGTTATGCATTTTGGTTTTGGTTTACTTTTTAAACGAAAACTTCCAGTTCTGATAAAAGCATGCTTTTCAACATGATTCAAAAGCGAGAAATTACAGGTTTGCTCCCAAAAAGTAACGCCTTGATACAAGTATTGAATAATATTTTGCGCATTACGGGAACTGATCAGTATAAGTTACAGATAAAGGAGTATATGTATGAAATTGAAGATATTCTGAAAACTAACATTCATTTTAGTGTTATACTCTACGATGTTGTACAGACGTTATTGGTAGGGTCAGTAGAATGTGTTGATGCCCCAGATTTTTTGCTTGACTTGTTCAGTGAGGTAGAAGAAAAACTTTTAGACTACACAATTGATCAAATATATATTCCAACTGAATATTTTATCTGTGTGTCAAAGTTTCGACTCCTACATGGTTTATATGGACTAGGAAACCTCGGACGTTTTTCGGATGCCCCCTCAACGGAGTAAAAATGGACGAAGACATGACAAATGTCTTCAATTACCTAAAATGTAAAGTATACCCTCCAAATGTATGTAAGGACACAAAACGAAAAATCAGATCGAGGAGTAAAGCATACGAAATAAAAAATGAAATATTGTACTGGAAAAACCAGAAGGGGGAGTTAAGACAAGTGGTCATTAATTTGTCAGAGAGAAAAAGGATCTTGGAAGACAAGCATGACAAAAACGGCCATTTTGGCCGGGAAAAAACACTGTGGGCCATATCAGAGATGTACTTTTGGAAAAATTTGTCAGGAGACGTTGAAGAATATGTCAATTCATGCTTGGAATGTCAAGAGGGAGGAGCTTTTAAAAAGTCGGATGCAGAACTTTTCCCCATTTCGATTGTTAAACCTTGGTATCACGTAGGAATGGACCTCATAACCATGCCAAAGTCGTCATCCGGAAATTGTTACATCCTAACATTAATGGACTATTTTACAAAATGGCCCGAAACAGCCGCAATTTCAAATAAACGAGCAGAAACTATAGCATTTGAACTCTTAAAGATTTGCAAAAGAACGGGGTTTCCCACAGTCTACTCTAGTGACCAGGGGAGAGAATTTGTTAATCTAACATTACAAAAACTAATCAACCAGTACTCTGGATCACAAAGATTGTCGTCGGCTTACCATCCCCAGACTAATGGTTTAGTTGAGAAATTCAACAGGACTCTGCAGGAGTCGCTAGTTAAAATTAGCAGCGCAGATCTGTGTGATTGGGACGAACATATTGATGATGTTTTGTTTGCCTACAGATCAACCAAGGTATCATTTTAAATTTACATTTAAATTTTGTTTATAATTTTACTAGACTAGTGATATAACTCATTCGAATAGATGAAGATCAAAGAATACATGGAACAAAATGGTTTCCTATAATTTGTTCGGCTGCACTTATAAGCACTCCAAAGTCAAATATGCTTTTAATGTAATTTCGGCTTAAACCTAGGGGGCGACAAATTTTAGAAGACTGTTTACTTTCAGAATGTTTAAATAATTTTACCAACTGTCAGTACTTTCAGTACTTTGATTTAAGCTTTGGAACTGTGCTTTTTAACAATATTAAAGCAAATTAATCTACATATTTTATTTTATTGTTTATAGCACAAAACGACAAAATATTCGCCATTTGAGGCAATATTTGGACGGAATGCATTTCCACAAAGAAAACAACAATCTGAAAGCGAGTATACTACGGATAATACAGAACCAGCTTTTGAAGAGGTGATCGAAAAGCTCCAAAACACAAGAGACAGCATTAACGAACAGATAAAAGAAAATGTTGAACTATCCCAAGCAAAGCAAAAAAAGTACTACAAAGACAAACGAGTACCGCTCAGACAATTCCATGAAGGAACAAAGGTATTTGTATTTAACACCCACAAATCAACAAGAAAGGGTGGTAAAAAGGAAAAAAAATGGTTAGGACCGTACATTGTTACCAGTGTTCTAAGCAAAGGGTGCGTTAAATTGAGAAATCTTAAAGGTTCTCTCATTAAGCGTTCTTACAATGTGAAACTTCTGAAGAAGTGTGTTGACAGAAAAGAAAAACTTCGTCTTAATGCTAACAACCATGCAGACATTGATCAGAAGATATCAAACAGTATCGGAGGGATAGAACGTGACGCTAATGACAAAGTCACAAATGCTGTTGAAGAAATCATTGATGTTGATGAAAAGAAAACAGATGATGGTGACAAAGAGGCTTCTGGGGATGACGACAGTGTCATGGAAGCAGATGCTGATGCTGCTGATGATGAGGTTCCTAGGGATGACGAAAGAGTTGATGACTATGAGGAGGAGGAAGAGGAGGAGAAAACAGATGATGATGACGAAGAGGTTTCTAAGGATGACGAAAGTGTCAAGGAAGCAGATGCTGATGTTGCTGCTGATGATGTTTCTGGGAATGGCAAAAGGGTTGAGGAGGAGGTACTTGTATCTGGAAGCTTTGAATTAAAAAATACGTTTTTTCCAGTTGATGCTACTTGGCAAGAAAACCAAATTTCAAAGCATAACGTTAATGTGTCTTTGAGAAAAAGACACCGTGGAAAAATAAAAAAAAACCTTTAGCAAACCATTGTCCATTAAAAGTTATGGAAGTCAGAGGAGACGGCAACTGTTTTTTTCAGATGTATTAGTTATGCTCTTACAGGATGCCAGGCCCAGCATAAAGCCATACGAAACTCTGTCGTGAAATGGATGAAAACCAATTCGGAGAAGGTGGAACGGCACTTTGTTACCCGCTATATTGACTGCTCTAACATGATTATAAACGGAACATGGGCAACAGAAGCTGAAATTCTAGCGATAGCAGCTTTGTTGAATACTGACATTCAAATCTATTGTCAGTACGGCAAATCTATTTATTAAATTATTATTATAATTATTAAAATTTGTTAAAGCGCTCAATTTTACATATAGTATGCAATCAATGGCGCTGTACATACAATAGCATATATACATATGATAAAAAAACAATGCATATGTTAAAATATCAAATAAAGTCTAAATGTTCACTGGCTGTTTAAATAAAATATACTAGTGTTCACAATAAATGTTATTTAAAAGCACAGGTGTAGTAGAACGCCTTGAGATGTCGTTTAAAAATATAGTAATCAGTTAACATTCGAACGTTTGTTGGCAACTCATTCCAAATCGAAGGTCCAGCTACCGTGAAAGACCTAGAGGCAAAAGTTTTGCGTCTTACGGACGGGACGTTCAATGTTTTCGCTGCAGGATTTACGGATCGAATGCCATATGATGATGTTCGTAAACTGAGCATTTCTTTAAGATACTGTGGGCTGTCACTGTCGTTAATGCACTTGAAGACAATGCATGCAAGTTTGTATTTAATGCGGTAGTGTACCGGTAGCCAGTTTAGTCGTTTGAGTGCTTCAGTAGAACTATCCGTAGACCTCAGCTTCAACACAAGCTTTGCAGCACGATTTTGCAACAACTGTAGTCTTTTAATGGTACACTCTGGCAATCCATACAAGACACTATTTGCATAATCTAAATGGCTAGTGACAAGGGACTGTACAATTTGTTTACACGAATCATCACTAAGATATTGG